CTGATCTTTGAATTTCTTCGCTTTTAGCAGGGTTAGACAATATTTTCTTTTGAAAATGGGCGCTTAAATAGAGGCAACAACACAATCTTTTTGAATAAGCTTAAAAATATACACATTAAAAACTGTTTTTATCTAATAATATTAAATATAACCACTACATTCTTATGCTGTTCAAATTAGCCGATATTTTTTCAAAATATCCTCATAAAATTTGCAGACTAAAAGACACCGTTCTTTACGAAGAATTCGTGGCAATTTACAGATAATAATAATAAAAAAAAAACAGAATATGCGCAGAGCTGTCTATATTCTGAAGTACTATGATACTTTTTTAACATTTGAATAGTTAACTTTCAGTTTGTCAAAAAAAAAAAAAGCACTGGTAAGTATAAATATGGCCGCAAAATTATGAAAATATTTCCAGAATATTATTTTCGAAATCCCGGATTATGGAATTCATTTTTTTTTTTTATTTCAACAAAATCTTAATCTGGACTTGAAAGTCACCGACTATCGACGAATAGAATTTCAGAATTCAATCTGTTTATAACAAAAACCTAGGAAAAAATAAACGCCAGCAGTACTCAATTTTAGATTTGATCCGGTTCTTGTAAGTGTAGAGGATAGGAGAAGGAGTCAAGTACTTACTGGAGCAGCAAAAGGGAACCGACTAGTCACCTGTGTCTTTAAAAATGGATCGTATGTACAAGTTCCATTAGTGGCTCAAGGAACAGTGACCATTAGTTGCTCAAGACACGTGGTCCATTAGTCGCTCAAAGCACGTGGTCCATTAGTCGCTCAAGGCACGTGGCCATTTAGTCGCTCAAGGCACGTGGCCATTTAGTCGCTCAAGACAAGTGACCATTTAGTCTCTCAAGGCACGGGTATCATTAGTCACTTAAGGCACATGGCCCTTTAGACGCTGAAGGCACATGGCCCATTAGTCGCTCAAGGCACGTGGTCCATTAGTCGCTCAAGGCACGTGGCCATTTAGTCGCTCATGGCACGGAGCCCATTAGTCGCTTAAGGCATGTAGCCATTTAGTCTGTCAAGGCACGGGGTCCATTAATCGCTCAAGGCACGTGGCCATTTAGTCGCTCATGGCACGGGGCCCATTAGTCGCTTAAAGCATGTAGCCATTTAGTCTGTCAAGGCACGGGTCCCATTAGTCGCTCAAGGCATGTGACCATTTAGTCGCTCAAGGCACGGGGCCCATTAGTTGCTTAATGCATGTGGCCATTTAGTCTCTCAAGGCACGGGGCCCATTAGTCGCTTAAGGACCATGACCCTTTAGACGCTGAAGGCATGTGGTCCATTAGTCGCTCAAGGAACGGGACCCATTAGTCGCTTAAGTCACGGGGCCTCTGCAAGGGAAAATCCTTTCATCGTTACTGCTGGTAGTTTAGGGTCCTATCGTTGATGATAGAATATAACTAGTTTGGGTTTCAAGGCATTGAATATAAGCCAGATTTTGGCACACTGAGATGTTAGAGCTTGATCAGAGGAGAAATCAGCTGCAAAACTCTGGCCATCTAGAGTTTCGTTGGTGCACAAATATACCTTCGTAACATCAGCATAGCTATTTAAAAATGATCGGAGTATACACTTAGGCAGATCATTTATGTAACGTAAAAAAGGGGGTTGGTCAAAAAAAGCGATCCTTGGGGGACGCCTGCGTTTATCAGCTGCCAATCTCTGGTTTTTCTCGAGTCTTGGAGGTGCACCCATACACTTGTATCATCGCGGATTAAGTGAAAAGACATCAACGAAACTCCTTTTCATCAGCGGTTCTCTCTACTTTGAAACATCGTAGTAGGGAAAACATTTTAGGGAAAATAGAAGTTAATTTTTTATATAAGAGTTTCTTTTCTCGCACTTTCTGTCTGGAGAACTCCATTCCGTTTACTTTCTTCCCTGATAACTACAATCTTCAAAAAATTAAATGCAGCATCAATCGCCATCTTTTACTTTTATTCTTTAAACCTTTTCATCTTCTGCCTTTCAGCAATCCTCTCTATTCTCAGTGTCCTCTTTCATTTTTCACTCCGTGTACCCCACCCCCCGTACTACTGGCATTCTCGCTTTGCTACGGGTGAAATAATTAAAATAAAAAAGATGATTATATTCCCATGGGACAATTCTGTATTAATAAACTTGTATATTTGAACTTAACCTGACAGCTAATATATTATGCAGCTTGTCATGCTTAACTGCACACAAGAAAACTTCTCTTGTTAAAGCTGCTACTGCCTTTTAAAACCTGCTGTCATTCGTCTTTTGTGCTTATTAGTAGCTCCCATATTCATTTATATGCTAGACCTTCTAAAGAGGTCCTCATAGTCCTAACATACGCGCTGATTCTCTCAGACGTCGAACTTTCCAGTGTTCTTCTTTATACAGTATTTTTGCTTAATTCTGCATGGTCTGATGAAAAGCCTTTTATCTTCATATAGGATCAGCCATTCCTGATTTTGTAGTCTATGCTCTCATTACGGATTTTCGATGTACCTCCAGACTTACTTTAAGGGGGTGACTTGTTTCATTTTGCTACCTCTCCAGTGTTCTTCTTTATACAGTATTTCTGCTTAATTCTACAGGGTCTGATGAAAACCCTTTTATCTTCATACAGGATCAGCCATTCCTGATTTCCTTGCCTCTGCTTTCACTACGGATTTTCGATGTACCGCCAAACTTACTTTAAGGGGGTAACTTTTTTCATTCTGGAACCTCTCCAGTGTTCTTCTTTATATAGCATTTTTGCTTAATTCTACAAGGTCTGATGAAACCCTTTTACTTCCATACAAGATCAGCCTGATTCCTGATTTTCTTGTCTCTGCTCTCACTACGGATATTCGATGTATCTTCAGACTTACTTTAAAGGGTGACTTGTTTCACCTTGCCAAAACTGCAAGGAATAGAAAACGCACATTTCTATCGTTATGTTCCTCGTCGTGTTAGGCTTGATTCGCCTGAGATTTCTCCTTCGATTAGAACTGCTTCTGAATATTGTCCTCGCGTTGTATGGACCGAAGATCATTTTTCAGATAAGCCCTTGACATTAGGCAAAGAGACCTCAGCAGTCTTTCAGACACAAAAAGAATTAGTCTAAAAGAAAAATTAATCAGGAGTTAAGAAAAATCAGGACATCACAGAGTGATAAATTGGAATAATAGTCTGGGACAAAATAAAACAGATGCCAAAATCTGATTTGTTTTTCATTAAGACGACGTTTCCCAGGTGAAATCTCTTCTTAGATCAGTGGACATTTCGTCAACCATTTTTTGTCTTTGTACTATATTCCTATGTTGTGCCTTGTTCAGCTTCCAAAATATGATTAAGAGAGCGCCTATATACAAGAGTTTTCTGAGGTTCTGGGGACTACTTGTCGGATACATCTTTCCTAACCATCAGATTTAAACATCACTTTACTGATATTCTAAGTAATCATAGCTAATCTATAAGTTTGAAATCACGAGCCGATTTTCTTTCTTCCTCGCAGAATGAGTTAGCCGATAGTGTTTCGCGAGATGGCGAGGAGGAAGGACTCTCATTAGCCAAGAGACGTTAAGCAGATTGCATTTCCCCCACCCTCACAGAAAGATACTTTCTTCCTTCAAGGTTAAGTCGAATTAGAAACGCGTTGTGGTGTAAGAGAAAAAAAAAAATGAAAAATGGGCTACAAAAAAAAATCTGAATTGAAATCGTATTCACGGTTTTACTTTTTACGTTTTGCACGTGAACGCATTCAAAACGACATTAGCATTCCGTGTGACAACTTGGACGCTTGCCGAATAGTTATTTATTCGTACTACTGTACAAAATGTGGCACAAGGACAAAAAGGGGGTTGGGGAAGGACGGTCTTCTTCTTCGCTCTTAATTCTAAACTTAGCTAGTCACAGACACTGACCCAAACATGCCAACAATATTCCTATCACTAAAACAACACATTCACTCCTACCTTTCTTACTGCGTCCACGATAATATCTCAAATTCTCTATGAAATCCTAAATAGTCCCCATATGTATGTTTCAAAGTCTGTGGGGGTAGGGGAAAAACAACAATTTAAAAAAAAACAATGATTATTTACAATATGAATTAATACTATTTACATAATACAAAACAAAAAAGGGTAAGTAATAACCCCACCACCCCACAATCCCTAAATGTGGCAGAAGCATCAGTTAACTGGTCGAAATAATTGCGGGATTATAACATTATAAAAAACCAAGCACGCCCACAAACACGCACTCATTTAGACACAATAACAATTACGAAAACACACACACGAAATGAAAGTCATCCAGCAACAACCAGAGAACTGACATCACTGACCACCTAACGAGGCAGGGGATGGGGAATTAAACAAAAGAAAAATAGGGACAGAAATAAAAGGGGCCAATGAGCATGCATACCCTAGCTAAGTTAACCAGAAACAGGAAACTAAAGACTCAAACTAAAAAAAACTAAACTAGCCTAATATCGGGGCGGGTTGCCTCTGTTCAACCCTGGTAGGACAAAATCCTGTACCTAACTGATATCCAAGTGCCACTCCAGGTCAGTCCCTTTCACTCTACACAGTCGCGCAAGATTTACCCACCTTTTGCCGAATTCTGATGAAGAGAGTCGCCGCCTTTCCGTCCTAATCTTAAGCAGATGCCTAAAGTACAAGATCAGTTGGGAAGAGGTGAACTTCTCACCTCCATAGAATCCCTTCTGACGTGTCGACCAAATCATAACTCCTAGCAAGCAGGGGAATACATAAAGTTCACCCTTCGTCAACGGCGGTGCCACATTGCTACAAACAGAAGAGGCCTCAAGGACAAAGAACTTCCCCTGCAACATGCGAACCATGAGGCCTTCAACAAACTTACACAAAGGAACTATCGAATAAGCAGCCTTCAAGAAAGATAAAGAGAATATAAATAAAGATTGATACAAGAGAAATAGTTGTTAAGTCGTTGTATTTTATCTCCGATGTCCTCCAGGACGTTTGGCAACCATGTTTCTCCATAATTTCCTTTTTTCTGATGTACGTGTAGTCTAATGCTTTATCATTTATTAGCAGTAGAGCCCGGCGTTGCCCGGGGATGTAACTGTAAGAGATAGATCAAGTATCGACCATCATAAAGGCTGAAAAATAAAATTGACAAAGATTATTGTTTAAGGTTGACGGACACGCATATCTTAATTAGTTTTTTTTATGCTTTTTGTTTGTTTTTTTGGGGGGGGGTTTACGAATTGGTCAAACCCAAACTCAAACAAAAACATTGTTTTCAATCGTTATGAGTCTACCGATTGAATAGAATTTTATTATAAACAATTGTCTTGTAAATGGAATTTTTAAAGCATTCTGAATGTAAAAATAAAGAAAAAAAATGTGCAAGACAATAAGAAACACTACCTGCCAAAAAAAGGAGAATTTTGTTGAAATCGGTTGAAAAATGTAGGAAATCTGATCCAATATATAAACGAACACACACACACACACACACACACACACACACACACACACACACACACACACAGACACACACACAAACAACCTGGGTTTTATAATAAGTATAACGCGATATGAGTTGTCCCCCTTTCATTCTCGACAGCGATACCTCTTAATCGTGTTTTCAAATTGATTTCGTGCAAAAACAATTGTGTTTTTCCAATTTTTGGCGCTGTCAGAACAACCGCAAGGTAAATTTACGTAGTCCTGTGAAGTTTTGTTGAAATCGGTTGAAAAATGTAGGAAGTCCGATCCAATATATAAACGAACACACACACACACACACACACACACACACATCCTGGGTTTTATAATAAGTATGATGTAGGTTACATTATTATTAAAAACAAACAAAAAAAAAACGCATAGCCCACATGTTTCAGACTGCGCATCAACGTTAACTTTATGAGTCTGCTCTTCCATACTGGCTCAAGTTAGGGTCGAAGAGAGCTTTCGAAGATTTTCTTTGTGGGATAGACTGGTTGGCAACTAAGGCTATAGAACCCAATATATCTTGCTTTTCAACCCATAGCTGGAGGGCGACGAGATGGATTCATACCTTTCCCAAGAATATTTGAGCGTATGTTAATATAGCGAACTCGAGTGGAATTTGAACTCGGCTCCCTAGTTTCGTATTTCGAGCTGATTTCCGTTACACCACAACGCACATCCAAAGGTTAAATATGAATATACAAAAGACAAACAAAGGCCTGTGATCTAACCACGTTCCTTTTCTTCTAACTACTTACCGTAAAAAGATCATTTGGAAAGAAGTTCGTAACGAACGATGAAAAAATATATCTTCAGGGCATCCATAAGAAATCATTATTTAGATTCTTTTGCTTTTTAATCTCGTCAAGAAAGGCGATTAAGCCACTATGATGCAACGGGTGGGTGTTACTGAGAGTGAAGGTAACGGAGAAAATCTCATTTAAAATTTAAATGTTAAATCTTAGTTGACAGGAAAGCAAAAAAATAAAAATAAAAAAAAACACACGGAAGGAACATCTACAGACGAGACATGAAAGAGAAAAAAAAAACATTAGAATAGAACTTAAGCTTAGAGACAGATATGTCATCTATATAATAAACTTGAATTCAGTGTGTTGTTGTGTCACACTTTTTCAATTAAAGGGACACAACTCTCAATAGATGATATTGATTTTCCAAGCGTAGCTTAGATGTGGAACAAGGCCGAAAGTATGAGGCACCCAGTGAGGATCGAACTCACTACTCAGTCGTAATTGTTCTAGCGAGACAAGCTTGCTAACCATTACACCGCCTTGGGGTTCCCGCTCATATTCTTCTACATAATAAATGCTAATGTCACTGTGACTCTGTGCCACACCTTTTCAATTAAAGGAACACAACACTCTAACTTTCAATAGCTCATGTTACAGAAATGTTGTATTCCCAAGTTTTCATTACTGTGATTATTTTCGGCGATGTTTTTACGTGATATTTTTTTGCGACGAATTTTTTGCACTATAATTATTTTAATAACTTGGAAATAAATTTGAGAATAATTGGAATTAATTGCAAAATACAGCAAAAGTCACGCATGAAATAAAATATTTTTTTATACGCAAAGTAAGGACCTACCTATATCAAATTGATTTTAAGTGGATTATCGTTGAACTTTTAAAAGTCAAGCCTAAATATTAATGCAATACTTAAATTTCAGCAATCAATTTTGAGTTCTTCTGTAGTTTATTGTTGCCTACTGCATACGGCAAAAGTATGCCCCACAAAAAAACTCCGTTAACAGAGGACCAAATTGCAATAAAAAAAAGGCAACGCTGCAGCAGGGAAAATATATTCCCATATAAATGAAAACCCCAGATAAAACGGCAGTCAGACGATGCTGAGCATATGCATGGTTTTAAGGACTCAAATTCCTGAACAAACCGAAGGCCCAATCAAAATTCCTTTGCGGGAGCTAGCTTAAAAACCGTTCGATAGGGTGGCTTTCAAGCTAGTCAGAAATATAATGAAAACTAGCTGATAATCTAGAATTGCCCTTTAATTCATTGAGTTGAGAGAAAAGTTCATCAGAATAATTGATATGAAGATTCTTCTAGAAAAGGCACAACAAAGCTACGTTGTAGCGGTGTGAAAATAATAGAAGCCATCTTGCCAGGTCACGACAGATGATATTGCAGATTATTCTTTAGATATTATCGAGAATATCTAGTCAGACAGGAAAAGCATCTGACTTGTCCCTCCAAGTAACCTTTAGGGAATTTCGAAATGAAATCTTTATTTTATCCATGGAGTTAGATTTCTCAATATTCTGCCGCCCTTGTCTAAATATATCTTGTCTTATTTATGCTATAAAATCGAAAAATATTTTTCAGCCTTAAATAAACCATAGAGTGTTGACAATCCGTAAAACGAAACAGTTAATTAATCTTGTTGATACTGGGATATTGCCATCCCTGATTCCACTAAATCTATGCTAACTAGTTGTGAGACTGATCTCACAGTTATTTTGACAGAGAATTCACGAACAAGTGCTTTAATATTGCACACGAAACGGAATAATGTATTCATTTCGAAAATCCTTGAATGTTACTGGGATCAAATGGGCACCTGATGAAGACCGGAATGTACAAAGATCAAAAACGTTCTGATAAAAACAAAGGTATGTACCGTCACTTTATCGCTGAAAAAAGAGCATAGTATGATGAAAAAATGCCCCAAACCTAATAAAAACAAAGTTTTATCGTTAAAATGTTTATGTTATTATTAAGAGAAAAGAGCAAAGTATTTTTAAAATATTTTTTTTAATTTTTTTACCCCTTTCACTTTATCGCTGAAAAAAAGAGCATAGTATGATGAAAAAAATACCCCAAACGTAATAAAAACAAAGTTTATCGTTAAAATGTTTATGTTATTTTTAAGAGAAAAGAGCAAAGTATTTTTAATTATTTTTTAAAATTTTTTTACCCCTTTTTAACACGCTCAACATTTGGGTTAAACATCTTGTTTTTTAGGATACCGTTTACGTAATAGTTACGGTAAAAGCATTAATTTGGAAATTTTTGCAAAAATCAAATAATTGCCAGATTTAATAAAATAACTAGGACTTATTCACGAATGAATGAAATTATTTTCGTTTTTTTTAAGAAAATCTTGGTAATTGTTTTTTTTACATATGTAAATTTCATAAAATTTTCGAGAAATTAAATTCTCGGGACAAAATCTATTTTATTATTTAAAAGCAGAACTCGTTGCAGCATTTAAATCATCAGTTTTCTTTTTTTTTTTTTTTTTTTTTTTAAAACAGTTCCCCCAGTCACCGAAAATTTGCTCTGAAGCGTAAAATAAAAATGCAATAAAACTATGATATATAATTAGAAAAGCTTTTAATTACTTTTATAAATAAGATATATTAAGAACTCTATTGCATTAAGAAGAATTTTTTTCGATGAATAATTAATTTTTACAAGAATTATTTTTATTTTTTTTAAATTTAGTAAATAAATTATAATAAATCGCTTAAAATTCTGAATTACATTAAGATAGGTGATATTGTTAAGTGAAAACTACATTTACGAATCAAAAATTCAAAAGCTCATTAAAAGTCGTTAAAACCCAATATTTAAAAAAGAAAATATTTAATTTCTTTATGTATACATAACATGTTTGAAAGTATGGTGACCATAAACGACATAATCAGAAAATAAGAGGAATGACTATAGTAAATTTAAATTCAACGTTCCTAAACTAAAATTACGCAGAACATTTGTAAGAATACTGGGTATTTAAAATAATACATAAAAAGGCGTTCACCCTTCATTTTCTTAAATTACGTTTCAACAGATAAGATCTCTTTAGAACAATAAGTGTCAACACTTTGTCAAGTGATTTACTAGGTGTTGACAAGCACTTAATGGCGCTACTGATTTGTTTTAAATCTATTTCTCTGTTATTTTAAACTTAAAGTAAATAATATTTTTCCATTCAGATTAATTATATTAAGCTAATGTTCCTCAAGTAAAGTTCCAGAAAAGTACGTTTTGTGTTTACAAGATTTTTAAATCCAAGAATTAAATTTTGTTTACAAATGTGTCAAAAATGGCTGAATTTAAACGATTTCTGAAAGCAAGCAAAAAGTTAAGATTCCAGACAATATAATTTCTATTTGAAATACACTAGAGTTTTTTGCTTACTGGAAGTAATAAATATAAACATTTACGTTTCTATTGAAACTAAAAAGAAAGTTTCAACAATGATTTTTCATTTTTAAAATTTCATTTTAAACCAATGAATCGTAACTAAGTGGAGGTTCGTAAACAAACGTTATATAAATTTATTAGTCTCTCTCTCTCTCTCTCTCTCTCTCTCTCTCTCTCTCTCTCTCTCTATCTATCTATCTATCTATCTACCTATATATATATATATATATATGTGCGTGTGTGTGTATATATACACATATGTATATGTGTGTGTGTTGTGCGTGTGTATACATGCTTATATACAAATGCGCATACACATGTGTTTCTGTGTTTGTTCATATTTATATCATGAAAAAACACTTACATACATTTATATATATTATATTTATATATATATACATATTCACTCACATACACATAAACATATATATATATATATATGTGTGTGTGTGTGTGTGTGTGTGTGTGTGTGTGTGTACATGTATATAGAGCAAAATACACATTCGTACACCTGTAAACAATATAAGACTTACGACCATAACACCTTGTTTAAACACCGATTCTGGTCCGATGACCGAAGATAAGCATCGGTGCTTAGACAAGAGAATGATTGGGAATACCAGGCTATAAGTTTGGATGTGTGAGAGGTGTAATGAATAACGGCTCGGAATTTGAAATCGGAGAACCGATTTCAAATTACTGTCCAATTCGTTATATTTGCGCGCCAATACTATTTGGCGACCTCGAATAGAACATAGACGGATTTGGAAAAACTCTAAGTTCAACAAAAGACCCTCGCTGCCTGAAAAGAAGACTGTTTTAAATAATGAAAATTAATAATTCCAGAAATTCGGACCGATGAAAATCATTTTAAAATCCAATGTTAAACGGTGTCGTTTTTTTTTCTTATGAGATGCAACCGTTAAGGACGTAGACGAGGGGGTTTCTTGTCGGTCTTGCTCTAAATAAATATTAATAACTAAATAACCTTTGACCCTTTAGCTTCCAACTTTTAACTCTTTACCACCCATCTTTGATTCTTTAGACTCTTTACCATCAATGTTAGACGCTTTTGAATCTTTACCATCCATCTTTGACATTTTGTACTCGTTACCCTCAATTTTCGACTTTTTTGACTCTTTATTATCCATCCGTGTACTCTTTTGACTCTTTACTACCGATCGTTATTCTATTGACTCTTTACCATCAATCTTAGATTCTCTTGAATCATTACCATCCATCTTTGAATCTTTAGAGTCTTTACTATTAATCTTTCACTCTTTTGACTCTTTACCATCAATCTTCGACTCTTTTGACTCTTTACTATCCATTTTGACATTTTTGACTCTTTACCGTCCGTCTGTGAGTATTTTGACTCTTTATCACCAATATTCGACTCTCTTGATTCTTTACTATCCGTCTTTTCCTCTTTTGACTCATTATCACTCATCTTTGAATATTTTGACTTTTTACAAACCCATCTTTGAATCTTTTGACTCTATAGCATCCATCTTTAACTCTTCTGACTCCTTACCATCTCTTTTGACTCTTTACCATCAATCTTCGTCTATTTTGAATCTTTACCAGCCACTTTCGACTTTCTTAACTCATTACAATCCATCTTGGACACTTTTGATTCTTTACCGTCAATGATTTTCCCTGTACAGTTATACGGTCACAAACTCGCTGTTTATTCTTGCCTTCCCAATATCCTGTGAGAGTTAGAGATCGCAGGTTTCTTTCTTCATAATGTTCAGATAAATTTAACTATTACTGATTTTATGTATCATTTCTCTATTGAAATTAATATTTCCTTATGATTCCCTTTTTGATCAAGTGATCTGCCTCTGTCCTTCTTAGCAAAACCATATATCAGTACGGTATTTATAGCAGTTCAACATACTCTTCAGTCTCTTTGTTGTAACCTAGAGAAGGTTACTGAATAGAATAATCACACGAAGGTTGGTAATGAACGATAATACTTAGGACAAGAACAACACATATAAGATTCGCCAGCGGCGCGTAGAAAAAGTGAGTCAAGTTAAATCCACAACGAATCTCCAACTACAGGCTATCTACCAACCGCCCCACGCGTTCAGATGTGGCACAAGGCTGAATTTAATGTCGGGTATTGCTACGGATCGGGGTAGCTGTTTCCCGAGACGAGACTCTGCTCCTTGACATAGCCTCGTCTGGGGATACTCTCTGAGTTTGACCATCACAACTGGAGACGAATCTCTAACTGCAGGATATCTAACAACCACCCCACGCGGTCAGATGTGGCACAACGCCGAATTGAATGTGGGGTATTGGAGCCAGTCGTCTCGAACAAAAATATCCCGTATATTCCGTATAAAACGAGGTCTGGTATCTGTTTTTAGAGACTCTGCCCTTCGATATAGCCTCGTCTAGGATCCTCCTGCCCGGAGGCACAGAGTTTGACCATATATATATATATATATATATATATATATATATACTACATTTTGAGCCACGCCCAGAAATATCATGGGTGGAACTTGAAAGAAGATTAAACAAATGGAAAAAAATCTGTTAGAGTCTTTGAAAAAAAGAATGGAATCAGTTATCAAACTTATACTTCGAGAAACTTTTGCGCGATTACCAAAAATCAGTGCTGCAGTAATCAAGGCTATATATATATATATATATATATATATATATATATATATATATATATATATGTGTGTATGTGTGTGTGTGTGCGCGCGTGTGGGTGTATGTGTTTGTCTTATATACCGATGCACATATACATTTGTGCCTGTTTGTTAATATTTATATGTAGAAAACACACACACACATACGTACAGTTATGTGTAACATATTTATATATACATGTACACTCACCTACATATATACATCTATGTATATACATATGTGTGTATTGATGTATATGTAGCAAAATTGCACATACGTACACCATACACACGCATACAGAGACACACAAACGAACAAAGGAGTGCTTAAAATTCTCAAAATGTAACCAAATAACAAAACCAGATTTCATTTGGGAAGGGCTACTTGGTGAGGCCGAGAATATAGTACAGACACACACACAGAGGCACACACAAACAGATATATATATATATATATATATATATATATATAGATAGATAGATAGATAGATAGATAGATAGATAGATATGCATGCAAGGGATAATGAAACTTTACGGATGTTCTCATTGAAACTGCTACTTGTGGAGTTAGTATTTAAGTCAACCATTTTTTTCAGCAGTGAAATATTTTTTTCTGTCATTGAATGACGTGGAATGATAATTACCGTTCTTGTCTTGAAATCCATTGTGTTTGAGTTCGTTCTTTTTAAGGCAAATATCTTATAAAACCGCCAGAAGTACTGGTTGCTCGGTCAGGGAATATTTCCCTAACATTACCGATGCTAGTGAGGAATGCTTAATATTGTTCTCTGGTTTAGAGAAATAATTTAAAAAAAAGATTGATTTCTCTGAAATATTTCCTATCATTTGTTTGTATAAAAATAAACATTTGTGTAAGAAGACAAAAAAAAATATCTTACAATGTATTATAAATTGTAATTCATAAAACAATTCTTTTTTGTTTCTTTGCGAACAAGTTTTTGCTCAGGTGATTGTTTTTAAATTATTTCCTCAAGTGTTTCTTTAAAAAGATGAAACGATATGGTTAAAATATTCAATATTTTATGCTTTCTTCTTTCATTTTTATTATTATTATTATTATTTATATCTGCATCCAGCATCAGTCGTTCGTTGAATCTTTTCGTTCTTCCTTTGTTTAGTTTTCCTTCAAAAATTTGTCTCTTTTCTTTTACCTCTATCCTTTTACGTCATTCTTTTCTTTTGTAGCCATATTTTCTTCTTTTGTTCTGCAATGTAACCTTACTTTTCTTTATTTGTCTTTTCTTCTTCTTACTTCCTTTCCTAAGTTCCATTCTACATTTTTGATTCTTTCCTTTCTCTTTCTACTCTTTCCGCCCTAGCTTTTAGTCTCTGTCTATGCTCTGCTCAATTTCCTCTTCATTCTTCTCGTGTTTTCTTCATATATTTATCTATGTTTTCTGGATTTGTATTTCTTTCTTTCTTTTTCTTTCTTAGTTTACTTTAGCTTTTCCGCTTCTTTCTTCCGTTCGTTCGTCACTTACTTTCTTTCTTCTTTGACGGGTGATATGCCGTAGAAAAGGAATCAGTCAACCAATCAAATTCTTTCTTGTCTAGTTTTTTTTTTTTTTCTCAAATGTCTTTGCTCTGTTCTCTTTCTCCTTCCCTTCAATTCTGTTACGCATTCATTTCCATCGGCTTCCTTTTATATTTCCATTGCTTCCTTTCTTCTTCCTTTCCGTCTCTTTTTTTCCCGCTTATTTCCTATTCTCCAATTGCTTTCTTTTCTCTTCATTTATATACGTATTTCTTTCCTTTAGTTTTCTTTGTTTATTTGTTTCTTTCTTTCTTTCTTACTTGCATTCCTTTTATCTTTCTTTCTTTGATGTTTTTTTTTCTTTCTTGCTTGCTTGTTTGCATTCTGAGCTTTTATCTCTCTTTCTCATTTTCTTTTTGTGACGTTTACTGTCTTTCTTTATTCTTTTCTTTAATTTTTCTCTCGTTCTTTCTTTCTTTTGTTATTTATTTCTTTTTTCTTTCATCCTTTTATGCTTCAATTCTCCTTTTCCCTTAACACTGAGCATTCTTTCTTTATTCTTTTCTTTTCTTCTTTCTCACTCGATTTCTTTCTTTCTTATTTTCTTTCGTTTTTTATTCTGTTTTCTTTTTACTTGTGTTGTATGTTTCTTTTCTTCTTTCTTTCTTTCTTTTATGCCTTATTTCTACTTTCCTCCCTTTTCCTTAACACTGAGCATTCTTTCTTTATTCTTTTCTTTTCTTCTTTCTCACTCGATTTCTTTCTTTCTTTCTTATTTTCTTTTGTTCTTTATTAAATATTTTCTTTTTACTTGTGTTTTATGCTTGTTTCCTTGTTTATTCTTTCTCTCTTTCTTTCCATACCATTAAACTTTTCTTTTCTATTTTTCTTTTGACCTTCATTAAATCCTATTTTCTCATCAAACTTTTTTTCCTTCCTTTCCTGTTTGCCTTCGCCTACTTTTTCGTTCTCTTACACAGCATTAGTTTTTTTTTGTTTTTTTTTTAAAAAACTTCCTCAATTCCATTCTTTAATCACTCATGCTACCCCCTTTCGAATTTATCCAATATCTTCCTTATTTCCTTCATTCTTACCATTCTTTTAACAGTTTCCTTCTTTAACAATTCTTTCTTTCTTTGTTATTCTTCATTAATACTTCCGACCGATTCTTTGATTCTGGCTTCGCTGTCTCTCGTAGGAGTTTTTTTAAAATCAGTTTCATTCATTCATTTTCTTATATACCGTACCTATGAACACAAATGGGTATGTCCCAATTCTCACAAATACGTTGAACACTATTGTAAGTGGGGGTAATATCCTGTCTAATTAGTTCATCACTAGCAGTGGTTTTCCTATTTCACGGCGCTGGCGAGTATTGTATTTTGTTGACCTTATAAAGATTGCCATTTCATTTCCAACCTCCGTTTTGATTATTCCTGATTCAGTAACCTTTTCTAGGTTACAACATATTTTTATTCCTCCTCCCTTTTCTTGTAATATTGACAAGTCTTTTTAAATTTTTCTCCAATATTCCTTTATTTGGTGATATTTCTATCCTTCCTAATTTTCGAGCCAATATCTAATGCTTCCTGCCAATGTTTCATATTTTATAAACACTGTTTCTTTTCTTTATAACCGCACTTCTTTTCAGTCTGCTATTCTCTCTATTCTTACTTCAGGACGAATCAAGGAACAATATGGAGGGTAAAAGGCAAGAGAATATGTACTATGCAAATCTTTCAAATAGGCAAAGCCTGCCTACATTACCAGAAAATCAACATTCAAAATCATTTTTGCTAGGTTAAAACAACAAAGTATAGCTAGAGAGTAAACAAGATTTTTAAACTAAGTTTAGATTTTGAAAATGAAAAAATGGTAGCGAAAATAGCTGCTTCACTTCAGTTAATATTGTGCACTCATTAACCAAAAAATTCGTGGTAGCGTAAGTTACAATTTATCAATTCTTTTTTTCTTAAAACAGTTTGTCAGGAAATTATACTTCGCGAGTTCACAGTGATCGCTTTTACTAATAAGGTTGTGAATAATTCTTGCAAATCTTTTGTTTAATGTAGTGTAAAAAGTGAATATATTCATGACATATTCTCGTGTTTGTTATTGTCATTCTTCGAAGTCTTTCCGTTAGGCGTTTTCTGAACGATCTATATATAAAATTGTGTGATGTTTGTTAATGCGTTCATCACAACTCCTGGAATAGCCATATTTTTGCGGGTAGAAGTGCAAAGAAAAAAATGCAGCTGTTTTTACTAGGGTGCGTACCTTAATACAATGAACATTCATTAATTTTTTTGGAAAAATCAAAAGTTTTATTTACAAGGACAAGGTTTTATTATCGCTCAAAGACACATGGTCCAGTTTATAAAAGTGTTGGGTGGATCCAGTAATTGACCCAAGAGTTATACGTTCAGTACCTAACTACTGCAGTGTTGAGCAAAAACTTAAGTTGAGAGTTGAGTTAAAGGAAAATGACGGAGACATCCGGAAGAGGCATGTTACGTGGAACTGGAACAATCTACCTCGGTGGAAGAAATAAAGGATTCGATTCGAAATTCTAGTTATCTGAAGAAGGGCGGAGCGTACAACAGCCGAAATGCCATGAATATGGTAACAAAGATGAGTACAAGTCCGAATAATGTAAATATTTTCAGTACTTCATCTCAGAAATATAGATGTATATTTTTTTATTTAACATAAAAATACTCTCACTATATTAAAAACAATATAATGTTTGAAATAACAAATACTTATTTAATAAAAATGCATGATTGTTTTTTGCATATCTTGCTTTTTAAGTTTTTATATATACTGGAATCCAATTTCCAGTTTACCCTGCGCTTGCAAGAACTACAAAAAAATCATAAGGACAAACGTGTCAAAAAATTGGAATTTGACTCGAGAAAGAAATATTTACGGATGGCCAGTTGTAATTGTCAGTCTCAAGATTAAGAAATCCTAATAGTTTATTATTCGTTGTTTAAAAGGAAAGGCTGAGCAGTCAGACAATTTGAAAATGGCAGCTTATGTCCAAAACGACATCCAGTCCATCGAAAAAAATGACATTAATTTTAAGACCACCAAAACTAAACTTCTCTTCATTAATCATATGAGAGACTCCTCTCTTCTCTCCATCAGTATGGCAGATACTAACCTCAAGGAAAGTGACTCTCAAGGCTAATGTTCTCAACTGACATGAAGTGGAAAAATTATATTGAACCATTACCAAGAAAGTCGGTTCCCTGTGTCGTGCAAGACATTTTTCTTTCCAGAATCTATCTTACATATCTATAAGTCTACCATTCGTCCAAGCTTAGAATATTGCTGTCACATATGGCTTGATGTCCCTTGAACTCCTTGATAAAATCCAAAGAAAAATCAGCAATATTATTGGTACTGATCTGGCGGCTCGGCTTCAGTCACTTTCTCACCGCCGTAAGGTTGATTCTCTGAGTTTTTTCTATAAATAATTTCATGGTAATTGTTCACCTATGGTATCTAGACTTCATGAATTAAAATGCAGTACTAGACTGGGGTCGAATTCTCATCAATTGGCAGTTTATCTGGCTAGATGAAGTCATAAATTCTATGCTAACAGTTTCTTTTCTAGCATTCCTCACGTGTGGAGCTTCTTTCCGGCTTCATGCTTTCCAGCCAATTTTAATCTGCGAAAATTTAAATGCAATGTCAATCGCTATCAAGCTCTGCTCCTGATTACTTTTTTCTCTTTCCACTCATTATTAATGTTTCTGTTTCTAAATCCTGTAACTACTTGTGTTTTAGTGTCTTTACTGTCTTGCTAGGGTGATACTGATTAAAAAAAGGAGAAACTCTTTCTTAAAAAATAGAGTTTAACATGGAATCTTATAAAATTAAATTAAATTAGAGAAATCATTAAACAGTGAAGTCCGTTTTTTTGTCAAAGTATTTTCCAAAACAAATCAGATTATTCGAGTTTTTAAATCTCAACACAAATGATAGCGATAACTAATAATACTAAATGTTGTGGATCCGGGATGAAATCCGGTACCAATAAATAACAAATGCCAGGAATTAATATATGAAAATAAAGTATTAACATAATAATACAAACTGGTAATGCAGGTTAGCAGTTCCAGGAATACGGGTTAGTAGCAAAGTATATATATATATATATATATACAAAGAAATGGACAAAGTCCGACAATTTATTTATTAAAGACATTTTTATGTTTAACATTGTTTTTTATAGATACAAGTATTGAAGTAAATGCTCTGTTTATGATAAACAGTATTAAATAACATTTACCGGCCTGAATGTCCGAGAAATTTTCATAGAAAATATTCGTCCTTTGACAGGATTCGAATGTGCATCCTATACGGAACCGTCATTTACGCTGACGTGCCTTATCCGATCGGCCACAAAAGAGCGTTCGGTAGATAAGGTCGAATTTACTGCTTATAAACTTCAATCTTCCATGAATCTCGTACATTCATAACTGCTCTGGCGTATCAAATGTAAACAAATGACGTCATATATTAAGAAATGGACAAAGTCCGACAATTTATTTATTAAAGACATTTTTATGTTTAACATTGTTTTTTTATAGATACAAGTATTTAAGTAAATGCTCTGTTTATATATATATATATATATATATATATATATATATATATATATACAGTCTTTGGCATTGAAGTATCGCTGTATGACTTCGTACTGAGTCTACGTACTCGCTCACTGTGACTCCTACAACGCTGTCACCTCACTCCCACTCTTCCGGTTACCTCACTCCCACTCTTCCGGTTACCTACAACCTTTTACTCTGTCACTCTGGACTAGACTCCTCGGTCTTGCTCTCTCTTACTCTCGTCTGGCTCTTGCACTAGTATATGTATATGCTGGGGGAGTTCATTTGTATAAAATGGGGTGGACCCCTCAACACTAAATACTGTGAGGATTTTGACACGTGTTGCAAAAAATATTCTAGTTTGGTAAAAGGCATTATTTTGTAGCGTCACTCTATAAAGGATTGTCTTTAAAGCCTAAAATTTTACTTCACTTGAAAACCTTTTCTACATCATTGATCTTAGAAAACGACTGTATACAGTGTGGCACCTTGCATTATTAGAAATATTCATAGAAATATGATTTAATTTTTTTTTTTTACTCGGTTTATTAAACAGGTTGTTAGTTTTTTTTTAGACGAAGAATAATTGAGTTGAAAATAATTCACTAAGTTGTACTTAGACGATCCTAAAAGAAAAAAAAAAGAAAGAGGAAGAAAAAAAAAAAAAGAGAGATGGATGATGCATGACCCAGTCATTAGTGAAAAACAGGTGTCAGAAAGATATCTTGGCCAACATGTTGGCCGAATTTCGAAAAGACAATAGGGATTTGTTATTTAGAAGGGAAAGCCATTTAGAGAGTGGAAGGGACCATGCTTGATAAGAGTGTATTGATAATAAAAAATATCGGTCGAAGCACATGACCGACTTTTGCGTAGAAAAGACTCATTATCAATTTGGAGAAAGGGAAATTTTTAGAACAATGGAAACGAAATTTTAATCGGAGGAAAGGTGTCTTTTTGGGTTGAGGGGTGACCGGTGGAACTGTATACAGATCCTGACCTGTTAAGTTGGAACCCACGATGATGAAGTGGAGACATTTTCAATTCAGATAATTAAGATTTTTGATTATCAGGTCTGACCAAAAACAAAGAGGTGAAAAAACGATTGTCTCGGCTCACAGATAGCGCCAATATTCTTTCCTGAAGTCACATCTAATTAGCGGCAGGCTGTTTT